TCTCGCAGTCCAGACTTATCCAAGAGTAAAAGAGACTCTTCGAAATACGGGAAGGAGCGGGACAAATCGCCATCGCGGAGACGGCGGCTGAAGAACGGCTCACACCACGAGGAGAAGAGCAGTTCAAGAAAGAAGAGGAAGAAATCCAAGTCAGAAAAGCATGAGAAGAGGAAGAAGAAGAAGAGGAAGAGGAGCCCGGTTCAGAGTGAGGAGTCGGAGGGCAACAGCGAACCAGAGGAGGGCGAGATCACGGAGTCTGAAAAGGAAGATCTGGAATCTGCCTCGTCGCCTTCATCGTGTTCCAGCCCCAAACATTCCAGGGAAAGTCCTGAGTCAGAAATGGAGGTGCAGAGCCAAGAAGGTGAGAGGAGAAAACTCCCCAACATTTGAGACGCGAGGTGCGCAGATCTCTCAAAGCCGGGTTCTGGGATGGTTCATTAAATCTGCACATAACATCAAGCCAAATCTCCCGATCAGTGATTTGATTGCCATGAAGCTTCCTGTAACTCTCTGTTCTGCTGCTAACCCAGCCGGTTTGTTTCGTTCCTTCCAGTTAACAACTTCTGGCCCCCCTGTGTGAGAGTGACCGTGGTCAGGTCTCCGGCGCTGCAGGTGGGAACTCTGTTCATCATCACAGCCGACTCTCCGGCTACGTTCGGCAGGTTGGTTCTCTTCTTCTCAGCTGTTTATGCACAGCGCTGGCAAAAGTATTCATGCAATCATATCACACAAATCTCGATGTGTTTTATTGGGATTTCATGTGTTAAACCAAAACCGAGTTCTGAATAATAACAACGCTTAAAAGAAAACGAACACAATTTTCGCCATTTTATTTTCAAATAAAAATCGGAGTACTGTGTTTGCCGTTTGCAATCCTAACATTTTTTTTTTTTTGAATCGATTTACTAATTTGTACTTCTTTGTGTTAATCTACAAATAAACTCTGTAGGTTCCTTGAAATTTGTAGGTCTAACATAAAAAATGTGGTGTTAAATCCTTTAGAAAATGACACCTGCTTTTTGAAAACTTTTATATTAATTGATTAACTGAGCAAAAATCAATCTTCTGCTTTTTGTGTTTCTTTGCAGGGAAAAAGACATGAACCATGCAGTTCGACTACCAGAAATGGGAGTCAGCAAGGTAACAACTCCCTGCTTTGCTTTCCCTGCAGGAGTCTAAACTATTCCTACGTTTTCCCTGCAGCGTCTCTAAATGTTGCACGTTTGCTTCCAGTTCCATGCGGAGGTGTACTTTGACCAGGAACAGCAGAGCTACATGCTGGTGGACCAGGGGAGCCAAAACGGGACGGTCATTAACGGAAACCGCATACTGCAGGTCGGCACTTCGTCTCGACGCGTCGAATAAGAAGTGAAACCTTCCAGTTAAACTCTGGTGTCCACTTGCAGCCTAAAACCAAGTCGGAGCCTCATGCACTCATGCACGGGGATGAGGTCAAGATGGGAGAGACCGTGCTGTCGTTCCACATCCATTCAGGCACCGACACCTGTGACGGCTGTGAACCCGGACAAGTCATGGCTCACATCAGCAAGCACAGGAGGGAGGAGAGCTCCGGTGAGAGAACAAATCCACTGGGGGGGAACAAAAAGCTGACATTTGTACAAGTTATTTAAAAGTGTCTGATGTCGGCGTTCTCCTTGTTGCTTCTAGAAGCTCCTGGCCTCAGCAAAGAAGACAAAGAATCCCTGAGACAGAAAGAGCTGAAGCAAATGAAGGCCAAATATGGACTGCAAGTGAGTGTTTAGGTGACCTGCAGCTGGATTTAGGGTTAAAATATACATCAAGGTTTTTTTTTTTTTTTTTGGTTTACACGGTTGGTCATCTGTTCAATATAGAGCAACGAGGAGACCAAAGCCCTGAGGAACCCCAAGTACAGGGACAGAGCAGAGTCTCGCCGGCAGAATGTGGGCAGCGAAGGCGTTTTCCAACGGGACGACGCACCCGCTTCTGTACACGAGTAAGTCTGGAAAAATCTGGATCAGTGTGGAAGAGGAAAACGGCATGGAAAAATAATTGACTTCATGTCTGACTTCGTTCCTTTTTGTACCATTTAAGAGGTCTTTCTTTCCTTCCTTCCCGTCTTGCAGGTTCTGTATGCAAAGTCTGGTCACTGTAGAATTATCTGCCATAATTTGACTGAGTTGTAGTGTTTTTAAGAGGAGAGGAACTGAGAACACTGACACGGATAATGCACTGGAACCCTGTATGTTGCTCATATGTTATTGCTTTCTGTCCTCTTTAGGGAGATCAGTGAAGTCAATAAGGGGCGGAAGATGCTGGAAAAAATGGGCTGGAAAAAAGGAGAGGGGCTGGGAAAAGAGGGACGGGGGATGAAAGATCCGGTGAGTTAATCTTCTGTTAGCCAAACATCTAACATGTCCAGAGACTGGAATTTTTGTTTTCGTTTCCCTTTTGGTGAAATTCTGAAAATGTGATTTTAAGACGGAACTGATAAAAGGTTTGACACATAAAATAGGATAATCTTCCGATTTCTGTGTTTTCCATTGAACGCTGCTACCTATGAGCTGCAGCATGTCCTCCCCCCCTCGTTTATGTAATGCAAACCATTCAGACCTCCAAAAGCCGATATCAGCATCATCCATAAGGAGCCTGATTGGTGCAGCTCACGTGTTTTAATGTGTTCCAAAGCCTGACGGTCTGTCGTCATCTTTTTCACAGATCGAACTGAAAATCCGGAAGTCGCAGTCTGGCCTGGGAACGGGCGGCGTCATGTCGGTGGACGACGTTTCCGCCACCAGATCCAAGTCCCATAAGAACTGGGAGAAAGCCCGCGAGCGGTTCGCCGACTCCTGCCAGCCCGACCCGGCGCCAGCCCAGAAAAGTAACGCCTGGGTCAGATCGGAGGAGGCGGAGGACTCGCAAACCAGTTTGGAAACAGGCAGCCAGAGTTAGGGGAGTGACTTGCGCCTGAACTCTCTGTTGTTTTACAGTGGAGGAGAGGAGGGAGTTTCATCGCTTCCCAAGAAAACGTGTTTGAGTTAAAGCTTGAGGAACTCCTGGTTAACAACTTGCTGTTTTGTTTCCTCCTAAGTATAAATGGGTTTTAGTCCGAGTGCTGTGTATCAGCCCAATTTGTAAAACCTGCGCTATGTTTTTATTTTCTTTTTCTTTATTTTTTTCTCTGCATGGAAACTGTGTTCAGACAAACTAAGAACAGGAGTTCAAGCTGAGACGCCTCAAGCAAATATTGACACAGTCGAGTTGTTATATTTCTCACAGTGAGATCATACTGTAACAGGACAACAGAGTCTATTCTAATGGGAAAAAAACAACAGATAAACATGTGATAAGAAACTCCTTTTTTTAAAAAAAAAAACAAAACAAATGTGACTCAGTCCACTTTTCTTTCTCTATTCTAGTTAAATATGATAAGATCTATTTGTGACTAATCCACCAAAGCACGTGCATCCACATTCTTCCAAGTCCACGGAAGCAAACATTTCACAGCCGTTCTGCATGTGACCTTATCTGCTCTCTGAGGGTGTGTGGAAATTTGCATCAATACTTGAGCGGAGGTCAGCGTCACACCAAAATGCAAAGCAAGACACCAGCTACACAGTTAGCGCCGCAGCTTTTGCTTTGTAATGTTTAGTCGGGGCCTCTAATCATTACACATCTTCAGGAACGTGTAGCGTAGCAGAAGGAGAAAAGCTTCTCAGAGGCGTAAAAACGGGTCGACTCACGTTATGTTCTTTACGACGTTCCGAAAACTTGTTCGCCGGGTGCTCCTCTTCCGATCCTGACTTTGCGTCCCACCCATTTTAAATCTCCAACCGCAGGACGGCCGAGCGTCCCCTCAGCTGCTGGGCATGTTCTGCTCTGTGACAGTTCAGCAGGTGACAGCAGGGCGCTGCTGTCAGAGTCTTCCTCCTCTCCTTACAGGTGAGCCCTCCCTCCTTGAGAAAGTCTCCTCCTTCAGTTTAACTGCACTTACTTGGATAAACTGAGGCGGAATAAAAGAGGGAGGGATCGGCTCCGAGTAGAACCCCTCAGCCATAAACAGATATTAGTCATGAGATAAGGTGGGATGTGGCTTTACTAGTTCCTGACTTTAAGGGAGCACGAAGAAGGGAGCACAGGAGGTTTTATTCTTGATGGCATACAAAAAAAAAACAGGATTCAGTGCTTTCTTTTTGCTTTCACATCATTTACTTAAGGATTTTTCCAGATCTAAGCTGTCGTATAGTTTATTTATTTGTTTAGCAATATATTTCCTTATGGAGAAAACGTTAAATCCCGAGGCAACAGAGTTTCTTTTGAAAGAACTGCCACAAACAAGCACAAACACGCTCTGTGTTCAGGATTACCATGAGCTGGAGCTCAAACAGTTTTGTGGTTATCTGACGTCAACTTTTTACACAACTCCAAACGTGCTCTCCAGTGAATTATTTAGGCTTATTTCCTCTATTATTTAAACACTTGTAAGATTTTTTTTTTTTTTTGTTTCTGGTGGGCATCGTGCTCTTTGACTTTGAAAACAAAACAATATATGAAAACCATAAAATAAAACAAATATATATTTTTTTAAATTTAATTTTTATACACATTTGTTAAAACTGCTACTGTCAGTGTAATTATCAGACAGATAAACTGTTTAAAAAAATTGTGCTCTTATTGCAACCTAAATGCAACACTTCAGGTCAAAAACAACCAATCACAGCCAGGAGGAAGGTCTGAGTGCTGTCAATCATACTCATGTATGCACCGCTCAATGTGCTAATGGAGAAGAAACAACTCTGTTACATGAAACCACTGATGAAGGCACCATCAATGGCGGCCATGCTAACTAGCCTGAGTATTCATGGCGAGCTCTGTTGTAGAAGAAAGTGAGTGTGAGCAGCCAGTACACAAGATTGATTGACAGCACTAAGACCCTCTTCTTGACTGTTTATGCAAAGGCAGTAGGACCACCGGGAGAAGGCATAGGAGATGTTTTAGTTTTTTTTTTTTGTTTTTTTTTTTTTTTTTACAGATTATCTCTCATAATATGTTGTCACCACTTAGTGACAGTTTTGACAAATGTATTAAAAACATTTTTCATAAGTTATTTACTGCAGCTTTTAAATTAATCCGTGGTTTTAGGAAGAGTGTAGTATAAACTAACCATGGATGCATGTTGTCCACCTGAAGCAAAAGAAAAAAAAAACGTAACTATTTCACCCTAAAAAGTGGCAAAGCTTCTGAAGTGTTTCAAGCTCAGTACTTCTGTCTGACTGCCATCTATGTGGATTTGAAGATTTGTTTTTCTAAATTTAAGCCGGTTGGCTAAAACCAGAGTCCAGTGGAAAGACTTATTTGCAAGTACAAACAACACACACACACACACACAGAGAGAGAAGAGCAACTTTTGAATACTCTTCCACTGTTCTGACCACAGTTCTGCTAAGGGTTAAAGGTAAACGAAAGGAAATGCTGCCAGTTTCTCAAGTCATTATAATGAATAGACAGTGTTGATGTGCAGCCCTGATCACGATGGCCTTATGTCTGCCGTTGTTGTCACAAAACAGCTGTGTAGTTTTATTTTTAACCAGCATCAGATAATGACGACCGGAGAGGCTATGCATGATGCATGTTTCAGGTATTTGGTTCCCAGTTAAAAATTGGTTTCTAATCTTGATGTTTTGAGTTCAGATGAAAGGAGAGGAATGTGGGTTTTTGCCACCCGGATTATCTCACACACAGCTGTCAGCTCATCACACACTGATGTTAATTACAAATCTGTGTCTGCAGATGTCAAGGAATGGCAGTCCATAAATAAAAAAAAAACATATTACACTGTAAGTAACCATCTGAAAACAAGACTTAAACATCAGAATAATGTTTAATATTTCCTTTGAATATCCCCATTAGTTATTCAAAAGGGACAACACTTCATACGATCATATTTTTTGCAATATATATCACACTTTTCATCTTACATTTTAGTCTGTTCTTATACAGTGAAATTTTTATTAATTTTCTGAGAATAAAGTGATTTCTTTGCCATTTTAAAATGTTGTAGTACACAGGGAAGCCATTCCGAGTTGTTGATCTAAATGGAGCTACATGCAGGGCAGTGCTTCTGCAGATATAAATAAAAAATAAAATATCCTTAGTGGTTGAAACCAGGGCTGGATTTACATGATGTGGTCCCCTTCCCACTAAAGTAAAATTATTTTGCAAAAGCAAAATACAGTACATAAACAGGTAAAACTATACATAATTTAATATACCAACTGATGACGTTCCTTTGCTAGTAGCGCCACGTTTCCCCCACACCTTAAAAAAAATACTCTAACGTCAAAATTTTCAAATACTTGAGTATTGTTTATATAAAAATCCCAGAATATTATTACAACTCACCTGATATAACTCTTATACGAATTACAATGCAAAACATGAATTTATTAAAAAATAAAAATATATGGGGCACCCCCCAAAACTTGAGACCCTGGGCTACTGCCTCTTTAAGCCCCTTCTAAACTCTGATCCAGGTTGCAATGTGATAAAATATCGAAAAGGGTTTGAATACTTTTGCCACTTATAAAACAGACATAAACAGCCATGAGCTGCGTGAGAAATCAAAGGATGTAAAGTAAAAAAAAAAAAAGGAATTGTTTAACTTTCCACTAATGCATGCAGTATTTCTGCAGCCCGGAAATTGCAAAATGTGTCTTCCAGATCAGGAGGAAACAAAGGACCTCGTTGGCCTGAAAAGAGTAAATCACCACAATGAGTCCCTGATCAAGAGGCAGAAAATATCCATTAATCACACTTTGATTTCATTTTATCCGGACCGTGACCATCTGCCGCCATCTGCAAACCCCCCCTCCCCCCACCCCCCGGTAAACGCGAGTCCATTGAGAGGCATGAGAGCAGAAGTGAAAAGTCTGAGAAACAATCCTGTGTTGACTCAATCCGCCCCCGACCCCTCCGCCTCCTACTTCCGCCTCGGCTCTCCCTGTCCGGCTACAGCTGCACATCTGAACTCACTTCAGATCACAGCACGGCGTTGCTACCAACAACTCAACATTTATTTAGAAACCAGGCTGCAGCTCAAACAAGGCTAACTAAAAGTGTACGTTTGGGAAGAAGACATCAGGAAGTGGGCCTTTAAACAAATCTTGCACAGCTAACTTTTTGGGAAAGAGGAAATGAGCTGCATTCCAAACACATTCCTGAACGAAAATATATATAAAAAAAACAATGTCTTTCATTTTGATGAATGGATTTGAAGCACATGATTTTTTGGGGGGTTGGATAGGTTGTGAAATCCAAAAGCTCATTATGTAGTCTAAGGGCTGTCACATGGCTTGTGTCAGTGAGGTTACTCCCTCCATCAAACGCAGCCGCATCCAGGCCCAAATTCCTCCGCTCCGAACAGAATGGAAATTCCACCACGGCTACTGCTTCCTCCCCGGGCTCGTGAGTCATTGAAAGCCGCTGCAGAGAGTCGGCCCTTTTTCCTGCGCCCAGTCTGAGTCTCAGGGTGTGTCTGCCTGTGACCTCATCTCCACAGGAAAATTACAATCCACAAACTTCAGCAGCAACAGGCATGGAGCCTCCGCAGTTTTGCTTCCCACACAACAACAAACCGGGGAAAGTTTTACGGAGAAACATCCCGCCTGGGTTACTACAGCAACTCGGCGGATGTTGAGTCCCACGCTCGGGTCATCCAACCTGTCTCCCATAACCCTGGTTTCTGGCAGAAATGCTTTCAGATCCTTCTGTTTCTTTCTTTTAAAAAAAAAAAAAAAAAGCAAGAGTGTTCCAGTTCACATCCAAAGGACTGCATACTGCTGGCTGACCAGGCAGCGGGGAATTATAGATTTGTGAAAAGAGCCTTTGTTGTCAAAATACAATACGTCTCTCGCGTGGCGGCACAACCTTTAAACCAGATGCAGCAAAGTCAGCAGATAACTCACTTTACAGAAGCAGAAACACAACACACACCACTTCAATGCATATGGTCAGACTCACCTCACTCCTCTGAGGTTGTGACAGATCGACCGGGATGAAGATCTACTTGGTGGAAGATAGAGGATTCCCTGTTCAACCGGCCGGTGGTGGTGCTGGTGCTGCTGCTGGTGCTGCTGGTGGAGTCGGCGCTCTCAGTGAGAAAACTCCTGCTCTCTCTCTCTCTCTCTTTCTCTTTCTCTCTCTGTGTGTGTGTGTGTGTGTGTGTGTGACGGAGCCCTGTCCATGTGGCTGGATGGGAAAAGGGAAATAAACTTTCTGGGCAGGGCGCCAACAACAGAGTGGGTTTTAAAGAAACAGGCCATATAAGGTCGAATGACACGGCTGATCTAGAGCATTACACGCACCACACACACATGTACTCTGAAAAACCAGTGAATGGTAGGTTGTGATCTGTGAGAATACTGTTCAAATCTTTTATTACCGCTACACGATAAAGCTCTCTGATTCATTGTTTTGTTTGCTATTCGTATAAAAACATAACTTTTTTTAAATGATAGAAACATACTTTTTGTAACCTGTATTCATAAAACTTGATCAATTATTTTGTTCTAAAGGTGACTGTGGACACTTTAATTTGAAGGAAGCAGAGCAAAAATGTCTCTTTGGAATATAAAAAGTTGCTGACCTTTGACCTAGAACTAAAGCCTGTCTAATATCGGGTTTTCTTATATTTCACGGAAGCAGAAACGTCACGGTAGCCCATATAACATGATCGAACAATGAGCAGGTTCAAAGCCAGATTTAATTGAATGCTGGAGTAAATTTCTGCCAGCGTCGTTTCTTCCCTACATTAAGCAGCGGAACAAAAAAAAAAAAAAAAAAAAAAAAAAAAATTTGGAGAAAATAAACTTTTAAAAACAAATGAAGGCAGTT